GGGGATCTCGCGTCAGACTTCAATTTCCCAACCATCCTGTGGTGATGGGCCGTCGTTTTGAAAAGACAGCGCCCCGCGTCTCCCACCTCCTCCCCCTCTTCCCTCCTCCTCTCCTCCCCCATCCCTCCTCCCCCATCCGTCAACATCAGAATCACAATCAGCATAATCATAACCATCCTCATCATCACCACCATCACGATCATCATCACCATCACCATCACCATCACCATCACCACCATCATAATCATCATCATCATCATCAGCAGCAGCAGCAGAATCAGCATCAGCATCATCATCATCATCATCATCATCATCCTCATCATCATCATCATCATCAACAACAGCAGCAGTAGCAGCAGCAGCATCATCATCAGCATCACCTTCACCATCATCATCATCATCAGCAGCAGCATCAGCATCATCGCCATTGCCGTCGCCACCATGATTATCATCATCATCATCATCATCATCATCATCATCATCATCATCATCATCATCATCATCATCATCATCATCGTCGTCGTCGTCGTCGTCGCCGCCGTCGTCGTCGTCCTTATCATCACCATCATCGTCGTAATGATCGCCCCATAGGGTTAGTGGATGCCATGACAATGGACACTCTAACATCCCTACCATTGAATTACACATGTATTTAAAATGTGTTAAACATGTTCTAAACATGTTTCAAACATGTTTTACAGATTCAAAACATGTTTGAAACATGATTTAGACATCTGGAAAGTATTTGGCAGCATGCTTCCTCTCCATTAATCGACTTCCACAACCATAGGGAGCTCCACCGAAGGCCCCACCGGCGGGGTTCGCATGGCGGCGTCACTCCAGTTAGGCGCACCCCTCACATGGCTCGTGGCTCCATAGGGGAGTCCCACCGAAGGCCTCGGCAGCAGGGTTCGCATGGCGGCGCCGCTCCGTTTTGGCGCACCCCTCACACGGCTCGTGGCCCCACGCGGAGCTCCACCGGAGGCCCCAGTGGCAGGGTTCGCACGGCGGCGCCGCCCCTTCGTGGCGCACCCCTCGCACGGCTCGTGACCCCACGGGGAGCTCCGCCGAGCGCGGCCTCGCAGGTCGGGCTGCACGGCTGCTGCGCGGCTGGGCCGTGCGCCGGGACCGACCAGCCAGAACTGGGGGAGCTGTGGTCCTCACCCCCCTGGGGGAATCCGTCGCATCGACGATCTCTCGAGGGGGGTCGGAATCGATGGGTCCCCCAGGGCGGTAAGGACCACAGCTCCCCCAGTTGTGGCTGGCCTGCAGGAGGTGCTGCGCGTCGGCGAGCAGCACGGCGCGGCAGCCGCGCGGACGGAGGGCGCGGCCCCCTGTGAAGGGCACCTCCTCCTCCTCCTCCTCCTCCTCCTCCTCCTCCCTCCTCCGCCTCCTCCGCCTCCTCCTCCTCCTCCTCCTCCTCCTCCTCCTCCTCCTCCTCCTCCTCCTCCTCCTCCTCCTCCTCTCCTCCTCCTCCTCCTCCTCCTCCTCCTCCTCCTCCTCCTCCTCCTCCTCCTCCTCCTCCTCCTCCTCCTCCTCCTCCTCCTCCTCCTCCTCCTCCCTCCTCCTCCTCCTCCTCCTCCTCCTCCTCCTCCTCCTCCTCCTCCTCCTGTGTTCTTCCTCCGACAAAATTTGTCGCTGCCGTCTCTTCGGGGGCCGCTCGCCGGCCGCGCCCTCTCGGTCGGCGGCGGTGCCCGCCGCGCCCCGGGAGGCGGCCTTCTCGTCTGGGGCCGAGGCCCCCGCACGGGCGGCGGGCCCGCGGGCCGCTCGCCTTTTTCCAAGGGGGCGCTTCCTCACCAGCCTGGAACAGATCCCTGTCACTGTGCTGTGGGCATCTCCTCGTCACGATGCCAATCTCAGGGACTCCCTTATTTTTTGAGGGCGAACCCCTAAGATTGTCATCGCCGTTTGGCGTGTCAATCCTAGGGATAGGGATACGTTCGAGGCTGGTCACTTCCCGCAGCCGAAGGTCAATGCCTCCGGGGGCGTGCGGGGGAGGGGGCTCTGGACGGAAGGGTGCACGGCAGAGTCGCCGACACGTCCAGGGCTGGGCTCGGGCATCCCGAGGCCGGTCCGCTGCGTTTGCTCGAGCGCACCCCCCACCTCGCTCCTCGTTCACTTGCCTCCCCTCCTCCTCCACACCCATGCACATTCATAGCCAGACTCGCCCGTAGTCAGGCAAATTCATGCTCATGTTCGCTCAGGCTCAGATTCAGTCACGATCAAACCCACACACGCTCAGACTCACTCGCAATCAGCCATTCCCAAGCTCTCATCATTCAAACTCGAATTGCTCACACCCGGACCCACTTACACCACTCATACTGAAACCGACTCATCAGCATTCAGACCCACCAACGCTCAAACTCACAAACACATACGTACCCACAAGCACTCATACTCTCTACACTCAGACCCACTGGCACTCAGAATTGCCCAAGTGTGTGCTGCCAGGGGGAATAGCGACACTCAGAATATGCACGCTGAGGCGTTCTCGCACTCACCCGCTCTCAGACTCAGACGCATGCCAAAAATCATTCAGATCCGTTCGCACTCAGACTCGCAGGCTGTGGGGAGGTGTATCTGACGAGATGCTGTTTCCAGCACTCCAATGTGGAGCCGCCAGGGTGCTTGCACGTCGCCCTTTGCGCCCAGATTGTGGGGATGCTTCGAGCGGTGTGCGTGTCTCGGCCCCCCAGGGTCGTTTCTCTCCCTTGGTGGTCCAAGGTCAAATTCGATATGGCAGGCGTGGCGCGTGGGTTACCCCCAAGGGGAACCACCAGGGGTGCTTGCACTTCACCGTTCGCGCCCAGAGTGTGGGATGCCTCGTGTGGCCTGCTTGCCTCGGCCACCCAGTCTTCTCTTCTGGCGGTCCACTGCTCACCGCGGTGTGGCGGGAGTGGCACTTGCACGCCCCCGATACAGGGGAGCCGCCGGGGGTGCTTGCACTGCGCGACTCGCGCCCTGATTGCGGAGATGGCTCAAGCGGTTTGCCCCCGTTTCGGCCCTCGGCCCCGCAGACCAGCCTTCGGGGGATCCAGTGCTCTCCGCGACGTAGCAGGATTGAAACTTTGGCACCGCAAGGGGGGGCCGCCAGGGGTGTTTGCGCTGCCCTCTTCGCGCCGAGAGTGGGGGGACGCCTCGGGCGGGTTGCTCGCTTCGGCCCCCCCACACGTCTCTCTGTTGTTGGTCCAAGATTCGCTGTGATATAGACGCGCGTTCACTTCATTTCTCGCGCCCAGACTGTGGGGATATCTCGAGTTGTTGGCCTGTCTGGCGGCCCCCCTGGATTCTCTCGCTGGGTGCTTCGATGCTCACCGCGATAAGCCAGGCGTGGCACTCGGACCCCCCATGGGAGAGCCGCCAGGGGTGTTTGCACCTTGTTATTCGCGCCCAAATTGTGGCGATGAACGGCTTGCCCGCTTGGCGGCCCTGGCTCCTTTCGGGCGAGGGGCTCCTGGGATCAGCGATCCCGGGAGCTGGGCCCATGCCATGGGGCCTGTCCTAGGGGAAGGAACAATGACATAAACATAAGAATTCGGAGGTCCGTGCGGATTTCTCGGATCGTCGCTGGGGCCCCCCAGCGGCGCCTCCGGCGCCGCCCCTATTGCGCTCCGCGCGCCGGGGAGGGGGGGTCCAGCGCCGATCCGAGAAATCCGCGCGGACTTCCGAGCTTGTATGTTTATGGCGCGTTTCCTTCTTCGATCTTCCCCTCTTATCTCTTCCTCCGTCGGCTTGCCGAAGGGTGCGGGACAAGTCTGCCAGAGCAAGGGCACAGCGGCCCACAACCTCTGTGGCCCGATGCCACGCGCGGACGGCCCTGCCGAAGCAGCCTGGCGATCTGCTCGACGAATGCCACTGCGTGAGCGGTCCCGAGCTGCCGGCCCAATGCCTACTGCGGGCGGCCTCGTCTGTCCATCGGGAAACAAGCAGTGACATAAATATGAGAACTCGGAGGTCCGTGCAGAGTTCTCGGATCGACGCTGCGGCCCCCCGGCGCACTCCGCGCGCCTGGGAGCGGGGCCCGGCGCCGATCCAAGAAATCCGCGCGGACCTCCGAGTTCGTATGCTTACGTCGGTGCTTGTCTCCCTAGCCCAGCTGCCCTCGCGCCCAGCCACGCCTGGCCCGATGCCAAGTGCGGGCGGTCGCCCGACCTCTCGGCCCGATGCCGGGTGCGGGCGCTTCTTTTCTCCGCCATGCGTCGCGCCGGCCCCGGTGCCAAGTGCGCACGGCTGCTTCGTCCACCATTGGTCGTCGCGCCAGCGGCCTCCGAGGGCGCCGCCCCCATGCCGACCGAGTGCGCGCGGTCGCTTGCAGCTCACGCCGCACTTGGGCGGATCTCAAATAGACGCCCCTTCCAGGGCGTGCAACCCTGTTCGTGCTTCCGCCTTCCGCACCCATGTGCACCCTACTTCTCCCTCCCTGCCGCCTTCTTTACTCATCCTGGGCATTCTCCCGTCTCCAAATCGCGGCGAAAGCTCTGGTCCCACCCTGCATGCCGGTTGTAGTCATTTTCTTCGTTGACCATCACTGATGTCGTCGCTGCCATCCGCGTCGCACCCGTCGTCCATTCGATGACGCTCTGGCGCAGATATTCACCGACAACCACTCTCAGCGAGACGTGCATGGAGATTCCGCGTCGAGTCATTGTAGCATAGTGTTTCCTCCTCCTCCTCCTCCTCATCATCATCATCATCCTCCTCTTCCCCCGCCTGCTCCTCCCACCTCTCCTACCCCTCGTCCTCCTCCGCCTCCTCCTCCTCTCCTCATACTCCTCCTCCTCCTCCTCCTCCTCCTCCTCCTCCTCCTCCTCCTCCTCCTCTCCTCCTTCTCCTCTTCCTCCTTCTCCTCCTCCTCCTTCTCCTCCTCCTCCTCCTGATCCTCCCGCATCTCCTGCGCCTCTTCCTCCTCCCCATTCCTCCTGCGACCTCCTCCTCCTCCTCCCTCCACTCGCTCCTCCTATTCCTCCTCTCCCTCCTCCCACCTCCAGACAGCCTTCTTTGTTCGCGACTCGCGTCGAGCACCACCAAGAGATCCCGAAAAGCTCGACAAGCACACACTGGCACACCGCCACCCTCCTCTGGGCGCGGGCGCCTTGGAAAATAGCCCTCCGGGGGGGGTCAGAGGCCCCATGCCTCCACTTCAAACTCGCCCGGCCGGCTCGAGGGGCAACGCCAGGACGGGGTGGAACCGAAGAGTCGAAGTTCGAGGTTTCCGGACGTCCTCGTCGGTGCTGGGCAGTCTTCCAGCCTCAGCATGCCTTCCGGCGGCTGCGCCTCGCAGAAGGCTCCGAGGATTCCTGGGTCGTCCCGAACGGCCGCCGGAGGCCGGAATCGTGAACGGAAAGCCACGGGACCAGCTCAGGGGGGAGGAAACATGGATCCGGAATCGGCGATACGTCGCCGACGGACCGGCGATAACAAATCCGTGCGCTCCTGGGCAAGGTGGGCTATCGGGCCTCTATCAGCGATGAATGGGCGATTCGTGGGTCGATGCATGCCCCCCGGAGCCTATCCCCCCTGACGTCGCCCCTGACCTTTGTCGAGCGCGTCACATCTGGTCGGCGACAATTGCGTGAGGGCTGCTCGGCGCGGTGCCAAGGACAGAGAGGAGAGGGAGGCAGGGCGGGAAAGGGGAACTGGGAGGGAGTGGTTGGCGGCGGGGGCGGAGGATGAGGGAGGAATGGAGGGTGAAGCAAGATGAGGAAGAGAAAGTGAGATGAAGAAGCTAATACCATGATAAAGAGAAAAGATCTTGAGAACGGAGGAGGAAATATAACTGCCATAAAATATAAAGACTGGAGAAGGTGAAATGAGGCAAAGAAAGGAGGAGGGGAAAGGGGAAGGAGACAGGATGAGCGCAACTGAGAACGACGACAAGCAGGATCAGGGCAGTGGAGAGGAAGCAACGAGCTGGTGCAAGGAGCAGAGGAAACAGACAAGGGAAAAGGCAAGCGAGAAACAGGAAGGGAAGCATCAGAGGCAAGAGGGGAGGAGAGGGGCGGGGGAGGCAGGAGAAGGACGAATGGAGGAATGAGAGGGGGCGAAGGTGAAGCCGAGTGCGCGTGCGCGCCACGATCCGGCATCCGACTCCTCCCGCTGGTCCGCCCCTTCCCCCACTGCGAGGCATGCTGTCCTCCGCTCGCCGACGAGCATCCCCAGAAAGAAACCATCGTGCGATGCGCAGTCAGAAACGGAGCTGGGAGGAGGAGGAGGAGGAGGAGGAGGAGGAGGAGTAGGATGAGAGGATGAGGAGGGAGAGGAGGAGGAGGAGGAGGAGAACGAGCAGGCGGCGGATGAGCAGGAGCAGGAGGAACGAGGAGCAGCAGCGGCAGGGGCAGCAGCAAGAGGAGCAGGAGGAGCAGGAGGACCAGGGGGAGGCGGATGAGGGGAAGGGAGGGGGGCGACCACGAAGAAGAAACACGATCCGGAATGGTGCCCGCGCCGGGGCGAGAGCGCCACTGTGAACGACTGGAATAAAGCGCTGACCCTCAGATAAGGCCACGCAGCAGCGGGAACACCGTTTCGAATAAACAGAGACAGTTTGTTTGATAATACATAGGTAAGTATGCATACATACGCGTGTGCAAGCATGCGCATATATGTATATATGTGTATATCGATATATATATATATATATATACATAAATATAAGTGAAATTACACACACGTATGTGATTCTGCATATGCATACACGATACCGAAGAAAAAACAATCAGGGCTATAGGGCTAGGGGGCTATAGGACTATAGGGCTATTGAGCTATAGGGCTATAGAGCTATAAGGCTATAAAGTTGTAGGGCTATTGGGCTCTTGGGCTATTGGGCTTTTGGGCTATTGGGCTATAGGGCTATAGGGCTATAGGGCTGTAGGGCACCCCCGGGCACACAGGGCACGCCCAGGCACCCGGGCACCCGGGCACCCCCGGGCACCCCCCGGGCACCCGGGCGTGCAGCGAAAATCGGCGGCCAACTTCACCCCCGAGCACCCCCGGGCACCCGGGCACCCGGGCGTGCAGCGAAAATCGGCGGCAAACCTAACCTAACCATCTGAATCCGCTAGGACCCCTACAGAGGCAAGCTCTGATTGGGGAATATACATATATGGACAGCCCCCCACCCCCAAACACACCTTTTACCAACGCTCACGTACGTTAGTGGTGCTTTTCCATTCCTCCTCCTCCTCCTCCTCGTCCTCCTCGTTGTCATTATCTCTCTCTCTCTCTCTCGCTCTACCTCTATCTCCATCTCTCTCTCTCTCTCTCGCTTTTTCTATCTCTCTCTCTCTCTCTCTCTCTCCCTGTCTCTCTCACCCAACACAATCTCTGTGAAAACGAAATGTTTGCCATGCCAGGGGGTGCGGAAACCCAGTGTTGTAATTGAGATGTTCGGGATTGCTAGGAGCCCTCCCAGGAGCTCCGGTCACCAGTCTCACCAGTCCCAAAAATCAGCCAAATACAAATGAAAATGCATGGCTTCCTCACTTCTCATCCCAGAGATCCCAAACATCCATGTGCAAACACACAAGGCTTGCGATGTCAGGAGTGCGGAAACCCTGTGTTATCTCATGGATGTTTGGGATTTCTGGGATGAGAAATGAAGAAACTAGGCGTTGTCATTCGGACTTTTTGGGGTTGGGGAATTTTCCTCCCTCCAGCGAAAATTAGACCCAGGAGCCATCCCAGGAGCTCCGATCCTCAGAATCCCAAAACTTTGCAACAAAAAAAAATGACAACACATGGTTTCATCACTTATCATGTTCATTTGTATTTGTTTGTTTTATGGAATTCTGGTGACCGGAGCTCCTGGGAGGGGTTCCTTGGTTTGATTTTCGCTAGGAGGAAAGTCCCCCGAATCCTAAAGAAAAAACATGAAAACACCTGGTTTCCTCATTCCTCATCTGATCAATCCCAAAAACCCATGGGAGAACACAAGGTTCCCGCACTCCTGACATCGCAAACCTTGCGTTGCACACGGATGTTTGGGATCTTTGGAAGAGAAGTGAGGAAGCCACGCACTTTCATGCGTATTGGTTTGATGTTGGGGACTCTGGTGACCGGAGCTCCTGGGAGGGCTCCTGGTTTTGATTATCGCTAGGAGGAAAGTTATTTATGTTTTAAAACATACATATATGTATGTATGTCATGTTTTATATGTATTGTATGTAACTGTTTATATATATATAAACCTATACATATATATATATATATAGTTGTTTCACCACCACCCCGAAAAAAAAAAAAAAAAAAAAAAAAAAAAAAAAAAAACTGGTTTCCTCACATGTCACCCCAGCAGTCCCAAACATCCCAATTAAAACACAGGGTTACCGCACCCCTGGCATGGCAAACCTGGTGTCTTCACAGGGGTTGTGTTGGGTGTCTGGGAGAGAGAGAGAGAGAGAGAGAAAAAAAAAAAAAAAAAAGAGAGAGAGAGAGAGAAAGCGAGAGAGACAGAGACAGAGAGAGAGAGGCAGATTCCAGATCCAGCTGATAACAGTTCTTATTGGAATACAATCGAAAACTAATTGGAGTGGAGCGTATCCCAGACCCAGCTGATTCCATATTGTCTCCTATTGGGACCTACTAGAACCGAATTTGAAATTGAGCAGATCCCAGATCCGGTTGATTCCTATTGGATTCCTGTTGGGATCCAGTTCGAATCCAACTGGAATTGAGGTCCCAGGCCCAGCTGATTCCAGCTGTGTCCCTATCACAATCCACTTGAAATGGAGCAGATCCCTGACACAGCTGATTTTAACTTGACTCCGATTGGAATCGAATTACAATATAATTGAAATTAGGAGTCCAACTGGGACTGCTTTTCGAGTTCAATTGGGACTCTTTTTGGAGTTCAATTAGACTCGAATTGGAATTGCGCAGATCACAGATCCAGCTGACTCCAAATAGCTTCCTATTGGAATTGAAATCGAATCTTTGTTGGAATGGAGAAGATTCCAGCTCCAGCTGATTCCAATGTGGTTCCTTTTAGAATCGAATTAAGATCTCATTAGAGTGGAGCAGATCCCAGATACACCTGTTACCAATTGGATTCCTATTGGACTCGATTTAAAATCTAATTCGAATCTGGCAGATCACAGACCCAGCTGATTCAAATTGAATTCCTTTTGGAATCGAAATAGAAACGAATTGGAATTGAGCAGGTCCCAGATCCAGCTGATTCCAATTAGATTCCTATTCAGGTTCAATTAGAGTCGAATTGGGGTGAAGCGGATGCCAGGTCCAGCAGATTCCAATTTGGTTCCTGTTAAAGTTACATTAGAATCAAACTAGAATTGCCCAGATGCCAGGTCCAGCTGATTACAGTTAGATTCCAGCACGAGAAAACAACGGAGATGAATAGGACAGGTGGATGAGCAGGCACGGATGAAGAGAAGGCAGATGATCAGTAAGAGTACGCTTGGAGAGTTCCAAGACCGATGCAAAATGAATGGGTACTGGGGGGGCTGCATATCTATATATATATATATATACATACATGCATATATATATATATGTGTGTCATATATATGTATGTTTTGTGTACACATATGTGTGTGTTTGTGTGTGATATGTGTGTTGTGTGTGCTGTGTGCTGTGTGGTGTGTGCTGTGTTGTGTGATGTGTGTTGTGTGGTGTGTGTTGTGTGCGTGTACGTATGTGTTGTGTGCTGTGTGTGTGTGCTGTGTGTTGTGTGTTGTGTGTTGTGTGTTGTGTGTTGTGTGTTGTGTGTGTTGTGCTGTGTGTTGTGTGCTGTGTGTGTGTTGTGTGCTGTGTGTGTTGTGTGTTGTGTGTGGTGTGTGTGTGTTGTGTGTGTTATGTGTTGTGTGTTGTGTGTTGTGTGTTGTGTGTTGTGTGTTGTGTGTTGTGTTGTGTGTGCGTTGTGTGTTGTGTTATGTGTGTTGTGTGTGTTGTGTGTGTTGTCTGTATGTTGTGTGTGCTGTGTGTGCTGTGTGTTGTGTGTGTGCTGAGTGTGTCGTGTGTGGTGTGTGAGGAGCAAGATAGGGGGAACGAACATTGCCATAAACATAATGACTCGGAGGTCCGCGCGGACCTCCGATTCATTATGTTCATGTCATTGCTCGTTCCCCTAAGGATGGACGAGGACGAGAGAAAGAGGCGGGAGGGGGAGGAGCAGCTTCAGGCTGGCCCGAAACGCCACGCGGCCGCGTCTGCACGGTGGCCGCCGGAAGTGTACGGAGCAGGAGGCCCTCGCCAACGACGGCGGTGCCTCCGCCCTCTGCCCTCTGCGCTCCTGCTCCTGCTCCTGCTCCTGCTCCTCCTCCTCCTCCTCCTCCTCCTCCTCCTCCTCCTCCTCCTCTGCTGCCTCCTCCTCCTCCTCCGCCTCCTCCTCTGCCTCCACCTCCGCCTCATCCTCCTCCTGCTCCTTCTCCTCCTCCTCCTCCTCCTCCTCCTCCTCCTCCTCCTCCTCCCTTCTCCTCCCTTCTCCTCCGTAGCCATTTTGGCTCAAGACTTCTGCACTTGGGGGCTCCGCGCCTCCGTGACAAAACGGGATAGCTCTGTCCCCGAGCTCGCTTTCATCGATTCGCCTGGTCCGCCCCAGGCAGAGTGCTGCGCGGTCCGCCCCGCGTAGCACCGCTTCTTGTGAGCTCCTGCAGGAGCAAGTGCAATCACGAGGCCGCTCTGGTGGGTCCTCCTGGGCGCGAGCAGCCTCGGCCAGGCAGGATGGCTTCCAAGAAGCCCCCGAGTGGGCACACCCAGCATCGGGTGGCATGGGCGCAGCCCTGGTACTGTCGCTTCTGCTGGGCGCCGTCCGGTGATCGCTGGTGGAACGCCGCTGACCTGCTGTCCTGCAAAAAGTGCCAGCGCTCCAAGGGCCAGCGCTTCCACTCCCAGCGGACGCCCAAGTCGCCATCCGTCTCCGCCAAGGACCAGGCAGCTTCTGCCGAGGTGCGCAAGCTCCAGCAGGAGCTCAAGCAGGCGCACGCCGAGCGGGACAAAGCCAGGTCGGAGGCAAAGGAGGCGAAGGCAGCGGCAGCCAAGCCCGACACGTTCGGCATGGAGGTCGACGTCGTGCAGCTGGAGGCCGAGGTCGAGTCGTCCCGGGTCAAGGAGCGTGGCTTGCTCAGCCAGTTCGAGGGTGCCAGCGACTCCTCGGGCCAGGTGGGGAAGATGCGCCAGGACTGGGCGGCCGAGCTCGAGCAGCTGCGGTCCAAGAAGATGGGCCAGAAGCAGCTTCCTGTCCAGATCCAGCAGCTCACGCAGCAGATCAAAGGGCTTGAGCGCAAGGCAGATGCCAAGCGCGAGGCCATGGCCAAGCTCCAGGACCAAGTGCGCGCCGCCCAGGCGCAGCTTGACGAGGTGGCGTCGGAAGCCGCATCCATCCAGAAGGAGGTTGCGGTGCTGGAGGCCCAGCGCGCGGAGGTGGCGGTGCAGTTCCCGCAACCTGCGACTGTCGTTGACGGCGTCAAGGCCTCGCTCGACTCCGTGCTGCCTAGTGTCGGGCTGTCTGCGGCACAGATGGTCGAGGTGCTTGGGACCTTCGGGGCCGACGCGCAGCTGGCCCAGGAGCTGCACAGCGTGGCTGGGCGCGTGCGCGAGGCTGCGGTGCGAGCGCAGGCTGAGCGGCAGGCGAAGCTGGAGCGGCAGCGTGCGCAGGCAGCTATGGCGCCAGGTGCGCCTGCGCCAGCGGCGACGCCAGGCACCCCTCCGCCGGTGGCGGTGCCTGCGGCCGTACAGCCGCCTGCTGCTGGGGTTATTCGCATCCCTGTGGCCTCTGGCGTTGGGGCTGACACTCCTGAGTTGCTTCAGGCCTTTCTCAGGGCAATGGGGCAGGAGGTGCCGACCGACGAGGCCGATCTTCGCGAGACGGCCAAGCGCTTCTCCGAGGGGCTCGAGAGCCTTGCCAAGCGCCAGCGCCTGCAGGGGCCAGGTGCGGAGGCCTCTGCGTAGACCTGCCATCGGCCTCGTCATCGTGATGATGACTGCTGTGGATGTGGTCTCTGCCGTCGACCTCGTGGGCGGCAATGTTGTTTCTGCGCCGAGCCCTGCGTTGCCTCCAGGCACGTGGGCACGGCGTCACGGCGGGCCTCCGGACCGTGACGACGTGACGCCCAGCGGGCCCCTGGACCGTGACGCCGCGACGCGTGGCACGGTCGCGCCTGGCCCCGCGGTGCACGATCCTGATGGTTTGGCTCCTGGGCCTCCCGCGAAGGCAGCGGCACCTGTGGGCCTCGTCTCCTCCGCCAACGTCTCGTCCTACGGAGCGCTGGAGGCGCTGCTGGGGTCCCCGTTCAACAGCAACGTCGTGCTGGTCCAGGAGCACCATGCTGGCCTCGGCAAGGTGGAGGTGTTGCAACAGCGGGTCCGCAACCTGGGCTACCACGGGGTGTGGGATACTGCTCCTCCGTCAGATGGGGGCGGCACCCATGGAGGCTGCGCGGTGCTGGCCAAGGCGGGCATCCAGGTTACGACGCCGCCGCTGCACCCGACTGGCTGCCTGATCCCAGGGAGGGCCACGGCAGGGCACGTGCACTGGGGCGTGGCAGGTGGGATCGTGCTGGTCTCTGTCTACCTGCATGACAGTACTGGCCTGGACGTCTCCAACCTGGAGATCTTGAGGACGGTGGGCCACTACGTGCTGGACATCGCCAGCCGTGGATTCGCCTGGATCCTCGGAGGCGATGTCAATATGGCCCCGGAGCTGCTGGCCCCGTGGTTCAACTCTGTGGGGGCGGTTCTGCTGTCAACGGCGGCGACTACATGCCGTCAGAAGTTGCCTGGCACCAAGCTGGACTACTTCGGGGTGGACGGCCGCCTTCTGAGTCGCATCCAAGTGCCCGAGGTCTACGAGGCAGCGGACACCTTCCCTCACAAGCCTGCGCAGCTACCGCTCCTGGCTAGTGACAGGGCGCTCTGGTGCAGGGTGCCGTGGGAACCGAAGGCCTTTGCAGCGATGGCGCCACCTGGCTGCTCCAGGCCACCGGCGTCGCTCTGGCACGCGGTCCAGGAGCAGATTGGAGCTGCGGCAAGCGATGCGGAGCTCAGCCAGTGCTGGGACGACGTGCTACAAGGCATCGAGCAGGAGCTGTGGCCCTTACGACCTCGTTGGCCAAGGCTGCCAGGCGCAGACGGGCAGGGCAGGCCCTCTCCGCATGCGCTGGCAGAAGTATGCCTGGCAGCCGCCGCGGCATCGCCTCCCTGATCGGGGCACTGCGACTGACGCATGGGCTGTGGCTGCTGGCTGGGCGGGACACCTGCGGCGAGTCAGCGAGAGCCTCAGCAATCGCATCCCGCAGCTCATGGTGGCGAGGGCTGCGGGAGGGCCGTTGGCGGCGGAGACCTCCAAGCTCGGCGTCCTCCTTCACGACACGGAGAATTTCTTCGGGCGCCTCCTGAAGCAGAAGTGGGTGTTCTCGGCGGTGGACCCGTGCGTGGCGTCGTTCGACATGGTCGACTGGCTCATTCATCAAGGTGAGTCGAGGCTTGCAGCTTTCGCGGCTGAGCGAGCCAAGACTTGGACGAAGTGGGTCGAGGCCAGCTTCGTTCGAGGCGCGTCGCAAGCTCACCAGATCAGCGAGGCCCGTGCCCTGCAGCCTGCAGACGCGGCCCGGACAGGAAGCCGGCCATATGAGCTAGTTGACGACTGCCTGGATGACTGGGCCACGGTCTGGGCGACCCACGGCTGCGTGAGGATGGAGCCACCGCCCGAGGCGGAGTCGTGGGAGCCTCTGCCGACGACTTTCGCACGTTGAGGTCCGCGCTACTGCGCGCAAGCTTCCTGCCAGGACGGCCACTGGCCCTGCGCGCCTGGCCCCATGCAGTCTGTGGCACCTGAGCGACCGAGCGCTGCAGACGGTGGCTCTCCTCTTCATGTTGTGCGAAAAGCTCTGCTGCTGGCCGCGAGGAAGGGTGGCCACGGAGCTGGTGAGGCTGCCGAAGCCAGACAAGCCTGGTGAGCACAGGCTGATAGCCCTCATGCATACTCTAATCAGGGTGTGGGGGAGGGTTCGGAGGCCTGTGTCGGTGGAGTGGGAGGGGAGGCATCGCAGTGAGCTACTGTGGGGCTCCGGTCCAGGGCGTTCCAGTCTCGATTGCGCTTTTGCTCACGATTGCGCTTTCGCTCTGAGGTCGCTCGGAGCACTGGCCAGCATTGTGTGACAGTTTTGATTGACATGATGAAATGTGATGAGCTTGTCTTGCTTAGTGCTGTGATGGCCGAGGCTGCCGCTGTTGGATTTCCTTCGCGTTTAGCGTGGATGTTGGTGTGGAAGTATCAGCAACCTCGGCGCATCAAAGGATTTAATTCCCTTAGCCGTTCATACACGTCTTTCCAGGGGACTTTGGCGGGCTGCTCGCACGCCACCACCCTCATGCAGGTCCTCCTCCTTCGGCCTCTCCAGAGGCTTAAGAGGGAGTTCGATTTTGTCGTTCCCCAGGCCTCATAATGACGTGTCGTTTCAGTGGATAGGACGCCTGGCCAAGTACGCTGGGGTCGTTTTTAATGCGGTCACGGCTTTCGCCAGCTATACCCGCCAGCTAGGTTTTCTGTTGCAGGCCTCCAAGTCTGGTTATCTTGCGTCCTCGACGGCAGCAGCTCGTGCTGTGAAGTCGAGAGCGGCCAGGCTGAAGCTCCAGGCATTTCGGGCGGCGAGAAATCTTGGCCACGACACCTTTGCTGGAGGCACCGCCCACAGAGCCCTTGAGAGGAAGAGGTTGGGGGCGGTGCTTGGGAGGCGGGGCCGGCTTCGCGCCCTTAAGAGGGCTGGGGGTCTGCAAATCAGGGTTCTGTGGCGCACGGGGGTTTTGCCGTCGGGTAGCCATGGGGCCGGTGTAATAGGCCTCGCTGATTCCACTCTCATGAAACTCCGTTCTTTTGCAGGGGAGCTGGTAGGCGCTAGGCGTGGCCTGGCCTCCCTCACTGTTTACACGTGCGCGCAGAAGGACAGGCTGTATGATCCCACTTTTGACGCCACATGCCCCCCTGGTCGCCAGGTATGCGTGTTGGCTTTGGGATGGTAGGACTTCCCCTAGGATGTTGAGGATGGCTTGGAGCACAATCCAGGATAAGCTCGGAGCCCAGGGTACCTGAAGGCAATGCTTTGGGCCGATTTCTGCCGTGTTTCTCTCCCGTCGCAGGATTGGGTGGGACATGGCCGCTCCCCACCTTCTCACCTCCTACCTCGGAGACCATATTTCGCTTTATGAATATTCGCCGAGCGAGGTCCGCAATTTATTGCGCGATGGTGTGGAGCGTTGGCTCTGGCGCAGGGTCCCCTTCCACTGGCCAGAAGCGACGGGCTCCGAGCACTGTTG